GAATATCATCATGACCAAGGCCAGAGAGATTAAAAACCTGAAAAACATCTTTAAAACTCTGACACTAAACAATGCTAGGATCTGAGTCACATTTAGAAAAAAAAAAAAACTACTCTGGTGTTTTCCGACTTACCATCAATAAAAGATCTGATCTGCTTTCCTCATACAGTAAAGAATTTAATTACTGAATCACAAGATAGATGTCGATATTTTGTTGTCAATATGCAGTCTTTAATTTATATCCCAGGAAGTTTTGTGAAGTTATTGATAGCACAGTGCAACTTATTCACTTTTAAATACCCAATATGATCTCAGTGCATTGAGAAACATGAAACTAAAGCAGATACTCCATAATTTAATTACCTTTATGGCCTATGATCTCAGAATTGTAAAAACACAATTTACTGATTCATATAATTATTGCTGCATTCCAAACTCCTTATGAATCCCAAGGACTATAGATGAGAAAAAATAACTATACCCTTATTTTATATGAAACTGAAGTGAATTTCAAGGACAGATGAATATCATCAGCATCCTAACATTTCTTTTTTGGTAACTTTAAGGAACAAGGAAAACAGATACATATTACTATATATTTCAGTAATTTCTGGTGTCCCAATACTGTGAAATAGATTGCTGCTCTTCTGGCCTCTGACCTGTGGGTGAATGGCCAATGACTGTCCCTTGAGCCTGACTCTTGTCTTCTGTAGATCCTCCCTAAAAGGATGTACACCAAAATAAGCAGCTGTCTTTGATCCAACAACTCGCTTAATTAATTTCCCCAGGTTGCTTTCACAATGCATCCGAACTCCTTACTTCATTGTTCAGATCCCTTAGAAGTTTACTCATTAAAAGAACAGAATGATGAAGGAAAAAATTAAAAAAATAAAACCACACAAAATCCAGAAACAATGGAGAGAAGCAATATGCAGTCAATTTTCCTGATGAAAAACAGAATTGTCTGATAACTTCACCTCAGCTTTGGGAAAAAACAAGTATATCTATTTCACATGCCTGGGAAGAAAAAGTATGTCTATTTCACATGCCACACTTTTATCATTCTTAGATCTTTTCCTTTATGCCTTCCCTTCTTTCCTTCCTGTTATCTAGTTGGACCAGAGGCAGTTTATATATTGGGTTTCCCTTGATGATCAGTGTAAATGTAGAATAAAATTCTCCTATCAGTGTCAATATGGAATAAAATCATTGTGCTTGATTTTTAAATTTGATTCCAGAAATGTCACATACTTATATTTGGAAAAATATTGGTAATGATCAAGCAATGTGTCAGATTATATATGGATTGAGTAGATGTTGGATGCAGTAATAAGATGAACAATGCTTTTGGAGACTCAGAATATTCTGTGCTTGTACAAGGAATTAAAAATAGATTCAAAAATTCCTGTCCAGTTCCATAATACTTGATCAGATATTTTTATAGCACCTCTGGCAAACATTTCTCCAGTGCATTTTTCAGTCCTTCCATAACATTAGAAGATGTTGGCTTATACCTACTTTGGAAAAGAAATTGGCCTCCCTATGGGCTATTCCATCCTAATTGTGCTGCTTTTTGTCATATGGAATAAGTTAAATACCTTTTACTTCTAGTGTATCATTCTCTGTGTCTCCTCTCTGCATATCTGCTTTTCCAATAGAAATAAATAAATCTTTTTAAAAATAAAAGACAATACTAATATTTAATATCTATCCAGTCTTGACTGGACTCCTTTGGCCCAAGTCTTGGTAGAGGGTAGGGTTGAAAGCATATGTGTGACCTCTGAAAACACCAAGAATAGCCAAGTTGTAACTACACCAGTGTTAAATATGTGTCAAAATTTTAATCTGAAATAAATAGAGTCACTCATTTTCATTTTAATTGAAGGACAGAAAGACAAAAAGACAGACATAGATAACAAACACATGCAACTAGACAAACTTCCATCCACACTGCTTAGGTGGCTGCAACAGCCGGCGCTGAGCCAATCAAAAGCTGGGAGCCAGGAGCCTCTATGTCTCCCGTGCAGATGCAGGGTACCAAGGCTTTAGGCCATCCTCTATTGCTTTCCTAGGCCACAGAGAAGGGATCTGGATGGGAATTGGAAATGGTGGGACAAAAACTGGCACCCATATGGGATCCTGTGCAAGCCAAGGATTTAGCCACTGGGCCGTTGTGCTAGGACCATGAGAAGTGTCTTAACCACTGAGATAATGCCCACTGCTATGCCAAAACTTGAAACATCAGCTTTCTCCTTTTATTAGGAAGTATGAAAATGATGACATGTCAAAATGCTGCAAACAACCTAGAAACTGCTCTTGTCCTTTAGTTGTATCACTGTATTGAGTTTGGAACCCAAAAGTGACTTGTCCCTCTGAACTGATTTAGCTTTGAAGGTTTTCAGAAATTTGAAGATCAGAAACAAGAGACAACAAATATTTTAATAAATTTAACAGAAGCTCCATGGAGGTGTACGAGGGTGTAATGATATGCACACTGGAATTATACATGCTAATCTAAATATATGAAGACAGATTTTACCCAAGTGATCTAATCAATAGAGATAGGATTCATGTATATTGATATATGTTTTTTTTTTCATTTTTGATGTCTTGATTACAGTGTAACCTAAGACAGCGATACCACTTTCGATGCTTATATTTACACTATTTGAACCTGTCATATCTAAATCCAGAATATTCTGCTACATCCACTGTATTCCCTGTTTTGTACACATGCAGCTTGCCTTTGGTGATTAACATCAGTTGCTACAGAGAACTATTGGCATATTTGATCATATCCATACAAACAACAACATAGGAAACTTACATTTTGGAGTAAACCAAGATATGTGGAGAGTTTATACTTAAGATTGTAGTAATGTTTTTACTTTTGTTAACTTTTTGTCTGCTTAAGAGGCAGATGGTAAAGATCAGTGGTATCACCAAGTCTCTGAACCTTCTTTTAAAAAATAAAAACTTGGTCCCAGCACAGTAGCCTAGCAGCTAAAGTCCTCACCTTGCATGCACCAGGATCCTGTATGGGTACCAGTTCTAATCCTGGTGGCCACATTTCCCACACAGCTCCGTGCTTCTGGCCTGGGAAAGCAGTGGAAGACGGCCCAAAGCCTTGGTACCCTGTACATGTGTGGGAGACCCAGAAAAGACTCCAAGCTCCTGGCTGATCATCGCAGCTGCTTGGGGAGTGAATCGATGGACAGGAGATCTTCCTTTCTGTCTCTCCTGTCTGCATATTTGACTTTCCAATAAAAATTTTAAAATGAATTCTTAAAAATATTTTTATTTATATAAGGTGAATACATTTCAGATATTTCACAATACAAATTTGAAAGTACCCTATTCTTCCTCTTGCTTGCAATCCCTGCGTATTCTCCTTCTTCCTTCCTTTTTTAGAAACAAAATTTTACAATGACATACTTTCATTTCACTTCATGATCACAGGCTGAACACTTGATTAAGCAATGATTTGAGCAAAGCAAATTGAAATCTACTATTCCAAAATCTTGTCATCTGTAGCAATGTGCATTAACTCTGAAAGACTTTTTGAGTGAAATAAGCCAAAAGCAGAAGGACAAATATCACATGGCCTCATTTATGCATGAGACTCTGAAAGAGTTGAACTCACAGGGCTTGGCATGATGGCTCAATGGCTAAATCACTTTGAAAATTCTGGGTTCCCATATGAGTGCCAGCTTTCCTCATCTGGCTTCTTTCTTACTGCCTGGGAAACCAGTAGAGGATGACACATAGCTTTGGGCTCTTGCACTTCCGTGGCTGACCAAGAAGCAGCTTCTCATTCTTGGTTTTGGATCTGCTAACCTTAAGTTGTTGCAGCCATGGGGGAGTGAACCAGTGGATGAAATAGCTTTCTCTCTCTCTTCTTTCTACAAATCTGACCTGCCTATTTAATAAAAATAAATAAATCTTAGGGAAAAAATTGAACTTACGGAAGAAAAGTTGTCCAAATACAATGTTTTAGTGAAGAGCCCAGCACAATATCCTAGTGGCTAAATCCTCACCTTGCATGTGCCAGGATCCCAGATGGATGCTGGTTCATGTCCCATCTGTTCTACTTCCCATCCAGCTCCCTACTTGTGGCCTGGAAAGCAGTAAAGGATGGCCTAAAGCCTCGGAACCTTGCACCTGCGTGGGAAACTGGGAAGAGGCTCCTGGCTTCAGATTGGCTCAGCTCTGGATGTTCTGGCCACTTTCAGAGTGAACCAGTGTATTCCCTTTGTCTCTTCTTCTCTCTGTAAATCTTTTTCCAATAAAAATAAATTTTAAAAAATTCAGTCAGACAAATTTATGAGGTCTATTGACCATTGCAATGACTACATTTAATAAAGTATCAATTTATTAAAAGTTGCCAATAGAGGTCTGTTGTCACTAGTGTCTGGAGCAGATTAGTAAATTGATGCATGGCAATTTAGGAGTCCATATAAGAAGCATGGTTTTTGTTGTGTTGGTCAAGGTAGAGAATGCAATGAATTCCTCTGAGTATCTTTGTTAACAGATGGATTGATTAGCTTTATTCTAAGCAACAAGAAAGGGGAACACACTATTTGCTATGTATAAAGGACATACTTGTTCATAAATCCATGACAGATCACATGCAGGCTCCCTGCAACAAAGGAGAGATATTCCGAGATAATTTTGAGGTCCTGTGAAAACAGGACAAGGCTAGAGCCATTGAACTTTACTGTTACCCAGATATCATTTGTCCTCATAAGCTAAAAAGTTCAGAGAGATTCTACATTTACTTGTGAATAAGCTAGTTTGAGAAGACCACCTGATATCAAATAATTCACTGTGCTAACTGTGAAAACTGGAAAATTTTAAAATAAGTACTCATTAATTTAATGTAAAATAATAATATGCATTAAAATTAATAGAATAGTTTAAAAGTAAATCCTCCCCCTCAACTTAGAAATGAATATACAATGAATAGCATTGTTTATTTTCTGTTTGTTTGTTTTATTTTTTTTAATATGGAACACTTCATGAATTTGCATGCCATTTTTGCACAGGGGTGTGCTAATCTTCTCTATCATTCCAATTTCAGTACATGTGCTGCCTAAGAGAGCACTGAGCAGCATTGTTTTACGTTTTGCTCTTGCATTCAATCTTGGGGGCAATGATGGGGCTCCAAACCCAGGTTTACATCTGATCTCTTCCCCTTAGCCTAATATAGGAGGGCACAATATGCTCATCTCTGCTTCAGTTTCCTCAACATCAACATGAGAATGTCAGTGGTGCCATCTGTCCTATATAAGGTCTGTATGAAGCTTTCAGTAGGTGAATTTAAGCTGTGTTTGGAACAGCACGCAACAAAGAACAATTGGAATCTTTAATAAGTAGATTATTTAAAAAAAAAACTATTTCACCCACTCTGTTAGAAGTTTCGGGCACTCCAAATGCTAAGATCCTGGGATAGTGCAAAAGGCTTGCAGTCAATTTAAACATTCTATTATTCCAGAGGCTGTGTTTCACGTTCCTTCTCGCAAACTGTGCTGATTTCCTCTCAGCAGCCACACTGGGCTCTTGGAACAATGCATCTGGAAAATGGAGTGGAGATTGTTTTGATCCATCTTGAGCAAGGGCTTTGCCTTCAGTTTGTTGGCAGGTGACTCTGGAGCTTGCAGACAGTCTTGTGTTTCTCTCAGAGGTAGAACTCTCAAGAGCAAAGTTTGTCAGCAATGCCAGGAAACTGCGCTTGCAAGCAGTCTTAGGGAAACAGGGGGAATTTAATTTTACAGGGAGAACACTTAAATGGGACCTATAAATTATGCAGCTATTTTTCTATACCTTGGCCCCAGTTCGGAATTTTTCAAAATAAATTACTTGGGTCAATTCCACTGTGGTTATGAGTATTACATTGTGCACTGTGGTCTCCAAGGCAAGTGCCTTTTGCTGAGCTGGCGTTTGGAAAATCTTCTGTAAGCTACTAAAAGCGGTGGTAGTTCCCATAGAGAGTACTCTGTCATTCTCATTCTCCACTCCCCAGCATGCTTCTGGAGAGTTCAGAAGCTAAATATAAAATGCTACCTGTGTAGTAAGTGAGGAAAACTGTACGTGCTTTTTTTTTCAACAAATGATGAGATTTCCTTCTATTTTCTAAAGTCCAAAAGCAGGTAACAGAACCTCTGTTTGGCAATGAACCTTTCTGAAGAAGTAACCAAGCAGACTTGAATGGAGGGCATGAGTCAGAGTCAGTGTAGACTTCCATGTGGAAGTCTGAGGCCACGAAGCAAACGCTGCAAGCTGGGTCAGCATGACACAAGGCTGAGTAACAAGGCAATTCATCAGTCTGAAATTTGATTGGTCAATCAGAACTCTGATATACAGCCTTATAATTAAAAAAGCATGTGTCCCAGGCTGACTGTTGCATCTGGGAAATCCCACATGATTTCCCTGGTATCAAGGCAGTGAGGTAGCTTTTTAAAGGCTTCTCGTCAACTCTTCTCAGTGGTAACTGTCCTTCCTTAAAAAAAAAAAAAAATACTTTACTCTGAGAATTTCATGTATTACCCCTGTAATACTCAAATACTCAAATATTCAAATTGCTATGTCCAATTCTGACCTTCCAGAAGGATAATAGTCCTTATATTTGTCATCTACTACCTATTCCACCATATAGCCTCACTTTAATTAATCAAGCTACATATTCAAAATCAGCTCCATCACCATGCCATCAATCTTGATGTCATCTCATGTATTCCTATTTCTGGAAATTGATCTAAATTCTTTTGTTCTGTATGAAACCAGAAGAATTCACATCCATCAGCTTAAAAATCAGAAAGTTACATGAAAGCGTCATGGATCCAATACATAAAACAGATAAGCCGTGTAATGTTAATTAAAGTCTATATGTGGAATTTCCATAAGGATGGTGCTTGCTCTCACTTGTATTCTCTCTCTCTCATCCATTTTCTCTCTCCAATGCATTGCAGTATCCCCCCAAGATACAAATTAGACTAATAGTAAGGCTTTGAAAAGCAGATTTCCGAGAGCTATTCATCCACAAGTGATGTCGGTTATTCCTATAAACTCGTTCCATTTTTCTTCCCACTGAAGCCCGATAGAGTCCAAATGTGTATCACTTAATACATGCTTATGACATTTCTAGACAATTTTGTAATTGACCATCTTCATCATTTCAAATAATCCTGTAAATGTGACTGTGGTTGGTTATTTATTGCTTAATAATCTACAATAACTCCTACTCCTCCAAGGCCCTGGATGAGTGAAGTAACTGCCAGCTGAGGCAACTGCCTTGATCACTTCTCAGAGTCCATCCTTTAGTGGGGTATAGTCTAGGGAAGTAACAGTAAGACACAATCAATCCTGTTCAGTCTTTAACCAAGCTTTTTCTCCGCTAGGGAATGTCCTCCTCTCTCTACACTAATTCATTCTATAACACCCAGTTTATGCTCTACCTGCTTTTCATATGTTGTGACATGGTACTTATAGTCTATTGCTCAAAATTTAACCTATAATCAGCAAAATTTCAGGGTTTTTGTTATTGTTCTTTTTTTAGTCTGCAAAGGAAGGGTACTATATAAAGATCCTAAATTTTTAAATTTTAAATTTTAAATCTTAGCTTAAACATATAGGATATATATAGGGTATATATATGAATATCTGAAGCCGATGGGACATGCCAATCAGGTTTTTACTTTTTAACCTGTGTCTATTTACTTCTTTGTGAGAGAGACATAGATGCAGAGAAAGAATCATCTAGATCTGCACTAGAATAATGTAGAATCAGGAGTGGGGACGCTATGACTAGAATCTGCTCTGCAATGCAGACAGACCAGGGTATTTAAAGTAGCATTTCAACCATTAGTTCAAGTACTTGTTCCCAGGCTTTTGTTTTTATGAAGATATGAAGATTAGTCTTTTAAAAGAAGTCAGTGTTGGGATGGCCACTGTCTGTCTCACTCACTGTATGCTGGAGGCAGCCTGGGCCACAATTGCAGCAAGCCAGCATCCCAGATCCCAGTGATAGCTTTTCTGTCCCAGGAACACAAGATGGAAAGAAGCAACATTTCCCTCTCTCCCAGCTTTTCCCTTGTAGGTCACTATAGCTCTGAACATAATCCAAGTGTATCTGTGGTTTCCTCGTCTTTTAAATAAATTTTATTAAGAAAAATAAACCTATGAAGGATACAGACAAGGCATGTAACCTGTCACAAAAATGAGTATGCAATTCTACAGGAATTAATGTTGTTGCAATCATGATTGAGCATCTTGCTTTTTCCACCCATTCCATTGTGCCAGAGTCTTGAACTGAACTAGTGGCTAAAAGTAAAAATGCATCTGCTGAAATGTACATTGAGCCATTGAAAATATCTCACAGCCCACAGAAAACAAGGGGAGAAAGTGTAATACACATATGAAAGGATGACTGAAATATTGCAATAGTATAAAGAGGTTGCTAAATGCTATAAGCTCATGTCAGGCAAGGAGGAGAAGCTATGAAAATATCAGGAATAGGTATACCTGAGCCTCTGTCACAACTAAGACATGACTCACAGCATTTGCAAAAGGAGGAAATTGCTGAAAGCATGATGTGATGGTGACAATGACAGGATTTTTTACATTCTCTACATTTACCTAGGAAAATGGTAAAATAAATTACATTTGACGTAAGAATAATGGATTGACAAACCCTGGAATTACTGTCTGGGACTTTATAAACAAGTTAGGAAAAGGGAAAGTTTACAGAGTGATGACATTCCAGAGATTCTTCTGGTCTGAGAACACCTCAGACAAAGTTTCTTTGGAGGTCTCCCCAAGCGAAATGCTGGACTCGGAATCCTAACCAAGAAAAGAGAGAAGACAGAACAAGTCAATCAACCATCTCAGCTATATGTTGGCAGCAAAATATGGAGCAAACAGAGACTCTATGATGGCCTATCAATCAGTGGGTTTTTCAAAGACCTCATAGTGCTTGGAGTGGCAAGATTGGCAATGATTCATAACTGATGAACTATCAAAACCACTTGAGCAAGAACCTCGGAGCATACCCTACATCCGGGACCTGGGGAGAGTGGGAAATTGGGTGGGCCTTCTCCCTCAATACCCCCTCTTTAAACATGAAGGAAACAATATGGAAATAATAGTCTTACCCACTTTCCTATTGCCCTTGAACCTTTTTACCCTAATTAACTATGTAAAGATTGTAAAAAATACAATTTAAAAAAAGAAGAAATTCCAGAGATTTTTGCAGTTGTGTATGTGAGATTAGCAGTAAAAAAAAAAAAAAAAAAATTCAAAGCTAGTATGCCGATCCTTTCAGTGTGGTGCCAGCAGCCCATATGGACACCGGTTTGTGTCCCAGATGCTCCACTTCCCATCCTACTCCCTGCCTGTGGCCTGGGAAAACAGCAGAGGATGACTCAAGTGCTTGGACCCTTGTGCTCATATAGGAGACCCAGAAGAAACTCCTGACTCAGCTATGGCTGTTGTGGCCATTTGAGCAGTGAACAAACAGAATATCTGTGTCTGTAACTCTGCCTTTTAAATATAAATAAATAAATAAATAAATAAACTCAAAATTGCTAATGTGTTTGTGAACTTTTTAAACTGTAAGCCAATGATACCTATAACACAAATAAACATTCTGTTTGCAGGGATTACATGTCCATGTTTCCAAGAAGAGTCTTTGTGTGATATATCTACTATAATTCTGTTTTAAAGACTTAAAAAAAATTGAAAAGCAGAATCACAGAAAGGAGGAGAATCAGATTGAAGAGATATTGCATCTGCCGTTTCACACCCCAAATGGCCATAGTGGCAAGGATTACATCAGACCAAAGCCAGGAGCTTCATCTGTGTCTCACGTGGACACAGGGACCTAGATACTTGAAAACTCTTCATACCTCAAGGTCAGACTTTTCTATAACTCTAAAAGTATTGCAGTGTGGGAACAGACATTTGACACAACAGTTGAGTCACTGTTTCAACCACTGGCATCACAAATCAGAATTTTTGAGTTTAAATCCTAGCTCTGTTTCCTGTTTGGCTTCCTGCTAATGGGCACCCCATGAGGCAGGAAAGAAGTGCCACAAGTAATTGGTTCCT